CACTGCATCAGTACCTATGTGAGGAGATGACCCCTGCACAACAGCACTATCAAGGACCAGCTGACACTAAATGCATGCTGGCCCTGGACTTTAAGGTTGGTGACCAGGTGTATGTCAAAGCCAAATACTTCCAGTCAACCCAGCCTTCCAAGAAACTCTCAGAGAAGAACCTTGGACCATATCCAGTCATAGTGCAGGCCAGTACCCACTCATTCATGGTGCACCCACCAGACTCAATGTGCACAGTCCATCTGGTCTTCCACATCTCCCAACTCTAGCTGGCCATCCCTAACACCATCCCAAACTGGACTCAACCACCACCCCCACCAGTCAAGGTTGATGGTGAATTAGAGTTTGAGGTGGCTGAAATCCTCAACTCCAAGGTCGACCAGTGTCACTGGTGTTGGCTACAGTACCTAGTCTGGTGGACTGGCTACAAAGGGACCAATGAAGAAACCACTTGGGTACTTGCTACAGAGCTGGACAATGCTTCTGAACTTGTGCAAGAGTTCCATGCCCAGTACCCCAGTAAACCCAGCCCTTTCCAATAAGGACCAGCCTCAACTGGCCTCACTCCTTTTTCTATCTTCTCTCAGTATCTAGTTTCTCCCTGATCTCTTATTTACCTTGTGCTTTTTTTTCTCTCTTGCTTTTTCCCATTTTATTGTATGAGACTGAGACCAGGGGTGTTTGACTTTGACAGCAGCAAGGTAACAGGATCACTATGTTATGGAAGGTCTACTTGGCCTCAGCTATAGCCTCATCCTCCCCTTCAGCCTCCTCTTCCTCACCCCCAGCCTGCAACCACTCTGCCTCCTCATGCAGCTCATTGGCATCAAACTCAGACAAGCCTGAGTCTGAGGGGGTGGCTGGCATCCCATACCTGTATGATGTGAGTCAAAGTGTGGTTCAGTGGTGAAAACCAACCAAAACCAACACAAAAGACAAAAAGAGCAAGTGGTGGTGTGCCTATGCAGTACCTAGATGGTAGAACCTGTTCTTTGGGAGGGTTTTTGCGAGCTACAACACTCAAAGACAAGTGCTGAGGGTTGGGGGTGCTCCTGATGAAGAAGAAGCAGGAATGTGAGAGAATGTGATAGGGTAGACTGCTGTCAGCCTACAGAAGGATGGATGACGACTTAATTCAATGTCCTAAGCTGCACTGAGCTCAGGGAGGGCTTGGAGTGAAGTGTATTGATGATAGACAAGGATAAGCAAAGTAGATGATAGTTAGACCCTTAATAAAGTCTCAATTATTGAAGCTGCTGAATGAATTACTGAGTGATGATAACATGTGAGCAAGAGGGGCTCTCTGACATCTTCTTTCTTTTTTTTTATCTAAGCATAGTGATTTATATACAGTACAGGGGTGTTGCCCTTGGAAAACAAGGTGCAAACACTTGGTAAGTGATTGGTAACTGATGAGTAAGGAATGCAAGTGATGGGTAATCTTCTTGGAAAGCATTGGTAAGGATTAGCAAGCCAAAAAGTGAAGAATCAGTAAGCAAAGTCACAAGATTGGTAAGTATTAGCAATAGGTGAGTCAAAGACAGTCAGAATGTCAAAGTATGAGTCAAGTAATGTCAGGAACTGGGAAAGCACACTGGAATTGCATTAGGGGGAGGCTGTGCATGTCACATCTCAAAGAGATTGCTTCTAGGCCAAGGTGGGATGACAGAGAGGCAGTGCTGATCTGATGCCAATATAGTACATCCAAAAGTGGACAGGGTGAGTCAGATGTCAACAGGGGTCAAGCTTTGGGGGTCTGTGGGGTGACAGGAGCGTAGGGGATCACAACTTTCCCCCCCCAAACCATCCTCTCAGTGAAGCAAATAAAAACTTCATGAACAAGGCTCTGTTGGAAGAGAGGATGAATGGGGAGTGTCTTCTGCTGTATCTTGCAACAAGGAGGCAAGATGTGCATCATACTCATCATGGATGCGATCAGGGAGAGTGGAGAACAGTAGATTATACTGTAGCTGTCGCAATCTTGGAAGAATGATGGATGAGACTGGTATGAAGACATTGCAGGGAGCAGGGAGGAAGGATCCATATGCTTCTTGGACTGGAGAGACTGAAACAACCACATAAGACCTTTCCAAGCAAATGACAGACCTAAGGTGACCAAAGAACATCCTCCTAGAGGTCATACTGACAAAAAGAACATGCTGTCCAAGCTGGATGGGCTGAGAGGGCACAGATGAGGGTGGGATGTACCAGGATGCTTCAGGATGGAAGCTGGTAGGAACTCCTGGTAGATATATGTAGCCATGGTCCCTAGCAAAGGGGACAAGCAAAATGATCGATGTAGAGGCAGCCATATCAGAAGAATTTAGCGAAATGAGTGTCTTTTGGAGGGAGTGCTGTAGAAATGTCTTCCTCTCCTTTGCCTTTGCCTTCATCATCTCCTCTTCATTGTTGGTGTCATATTTTATGGCATCATCTGACACCTGGGTCCAGTCAATGAGGACCCAGCCTTCATCATTGTCAGTCACAGTGATCAGCCTCAATTCAGACATGATGAGTAGATTGCAAAAGAAAGATGCAAAGGGCTTAGTGAGCCACAAGTATCAGTTTTTTGAACTCAGCCAAAGTTTGGACTCAGCCTACCACTCTTGCAGGGGTCTCATGGGTTTGACCCCTAAGAGGGGGATACTGTCATAGCCATGCCTTGACCCTGGCTGGACTCAGCCTCACACTCATTCAGTCTGGCCTCAGCCTTGCCAAACTCTACCCCCAGTTGGCCTAGCACAGTTAGCACTGCTTTGCAGTGTTATTACTAAGTGTCATCTCAGTTGAGCCCACCTTGGTCTTGTCCCCAGCCTGCCCTGTCTCTGTCCTGGTCTCCAGTCATCTTTGTCATACCTTACTAATGCCATTCTTACCAATCATCTTAGCAATCCTTGCAAGACTGGCATTACTGGTCTCTGTACTATAGTTGTCTCTAGTATATAAACCCATAGATACTTGGCCTGTATCCCCTCAGTCTGAAATCAACTAAGTTACTCTGATAATCCTGCCTCAGCCTTGGACTCAGACTGAGACCAATGCAAGGGAATAGCACTGTAACCTCAGTTGCTAAGTCCAATCAATCTGCCCTTCTGTATCTCCACTACACCTCTGACCCTGACCCCTCTCAGCCTCACACCCACTTTTGTCTCCAGTCCAGCCTCAACCCAGATACCATGAACTTGACATATATGTACACAGTTCCCCTTCCTTCATCATATGCTCACCCCAGTTCTCCCTGCTGTGGAGACTCAGTCATATGTGTAAACCTGCTATGCAGTGACTCCATATGACTCAACAGTACCTTTGTAGGAACTTGGGTGCATGTTTGAACATTTTTGAATGTTTGTCATACAGTACTTTACATACATATATAAACCCACATGTATCACACTGGCTCTCCATTTGAGATCTACTTTGCAACCACCCTTAGCTCTGCTCACTGTACCCATGAGGACTTGACAGTACAACTTCAGTTGGCCAAGACTAGTGCCCCACCACTAGTGAAGTTAAATTACACATCACTTCTTGCACATTACATGCTTGTGCTACACCACACTCAATTTGTGATATAATACGAGTCATTGGCATAACACCTCCTACCATTCAGGTTTTGCAGCTCATGCCCCAGCAGGATTCTGCTGTTGTTTGGGGTCAGAAAGCACTACCATGCACTTCCCCCATAGTCTCCCACTCTATATACCTCAACATTTCCCAGTGCACTTGTTGTCTACTCCCTGAGGCATTGGTTGTGTACAGTACACTTTCTCATAATGCATAGCTTTTTTTTTTTTCATTATTGAATTTTTTGCAGTACCAGGTGCTGGTCTCTGCTGGTCTGACATTATGCATTATGAGCAAGTGTACTGTATATAGTTTACAGAACAATGCTCATCTATTACAGAACATAGCAACAACCAAAGACTAAAGTTTTCAACCCTACTCCTCTCCTCCCAGTAACAGTAGGACAATCTGAGGCTGTGCACTCCAAGCACTTATGCACATGGGTAAACATTACACCAAAGGAAATGCATAACAGTTTCTTTCCATCATTGAATTTTTTGTGGTACCAGATGCCAGTTTCTGCTGGTCCAACATTATGCATTATGAGCAAGTGTACTGTATCTCCAACAACATCAATGCAAAGCAGGGTCTGTTTATTGTGTATCTATGTTCAATGAATGCTCAAGAAGCCCTAAGGTCTGAATTACATCTGGCATCTGGTAACTACAGGACAGATTTTCCCAGCTAATCAGATCTGCCTTTTGTCTGCAGAGTTTTTAGTTTCCTCAGTAACTATCAGATGAGGGCACCGATCTCGCCGAAGCACGGTCCAACTTGAGCAACGTGGGCTTCCTGAGTTGCTGTCCGCTCTCTTTTTGCCTTTATCCTTCTCACCTACACCAAGCCACCACCGCTGAAACCAGAGCCAGGAATGCACGGATTCGGGGACGAGTTCAAGTACTACCGGGACAGGTAGTACGAAACCAGCAGCAGTGACACACTTGGCTTCGTGTGTCTCTGATCAAGTAAAGCAGATACAGATCTCGATGACGGCCACATACCAACGTAGTTCCATTCCTCCCGATACTGGACCCATAACCACTCCAGACGATGGCCCCTGACTTTTTGCGATCCTAAGCCGTCTATGCACTTCGCGCAATCGGGTAAGATAGGGGGCTCTGATTGTCTTACCTCCGCACGCTCCAGTCTTGGCTGTCGTTATCATCTTTCGGGTTACGTCGTGGTGCTTGAAATACTTGTCATAGACGCAGTAGCATTCCACCTCATCGTCATCGCCGTCTCCTTCCCTATCTCCCTCGTCTGTAGCCTCCCAATTCCTGTCGATACTCCGCTTCGTACCGCGCTGCGTAGGTGAATACACGGTTTTCACATGCTCTTATTCGAGCTGCCGCGTTGGTATTGAGTTCGAGTTCACATTTGTGATATTAGGCGACCTCGAAGTGGTCGGCTCCGAGTCTGAGTCTGCGATGGAATCGTGATGTCAGCCACTTCAAGTTCCTCCTGTTCGTCATCCTCGATGTCGTGGGACGGGGCTTGAGGAAGCTGTTGTGGTGGGAAAGATGGTGAAGATGTATCGGGATGGGTATATGCGTAGGTGCCGGTATGAGAGGGATTCTGTCTCGTGTAGCCCTGCCGCAGTCAGCTTGGGGTGTTAGAGTGTTACTTCTGTGTACAAGCGGGATCGTTATCTCGTCTAATCCCGCCGCAGTCGGTTCGAAAGCCTCTGGTGTTGGGGTCTTGCTTCTGTGTACGGGTAGGGTCTCGGTCTTGGCCGTGAATGTACGATCACGTCGCAGAAAGATCCTACATCTGCAAGACAGTCGAATTACAGCATGCGCTTCAGACAGTTTTTGAATTGTTTGAGAGCTCGGCACGCACTGTTACCGATGCTAAGCGCTCTAACGTTGCTCTTAGAGCACTAAGCGATTTGCAGATGTACCTTGCGTGGGCGTTGAGCAGGTCAAACTCCGCGTCGTCCTCGGAGAGTTCCGGGATCTGCGATTCCGCCGACACTCGACCGTCCTCGGAGTCACTGGATCTATAGGATCTCGATCTTCCATTCCAACTCACATCTCGGCATCAACCTGGATTCCAGTACCCAACCCTATGCAAACGGGTTATCCTGGTCGGGTCATCAACTAAACAAACTTCCAGCGAAACTTGGTGGCCAGCCCGGTGCTGTCCCATCGACGGGTGCAGGTTTTGGCGAGATTGCATCTCAGCCCTCTGGATATCCCGGAGCGCGTCCTCCAGCGTCCCTTCAGTCTCAGCAAACCGGGTTTCACGGTGCGCCTGGTGCACCTGGTGGACTTCTGCAAGCTCAGCTGACAGGATTTCCAGGTGCGCAGACGAGTTTTAGTCAGCGGCCCCCATCGCCTCCTGCAACAAAGTTTCCAGCAGCATAACCAGCAGCACGGAAGGGGGCCTACGCCAAAAGTACCATGGGCATTGAGTAAGCCGGAGAAGAAGAGTTACGATCAGATCTTCAGGCCATGGGATGCGCAGGGCACCGGCTTCATCGGCGGGCAGACCGCGTTGGAAGCGTTTGGACAGAGTGGTCTCGACAGGAATGATCTGGCGAAAATTTGGTAAGTTATCGATGTCTGTACGAGTTGATGTTTGCAGACACTGATGAAGTGGGCAGGCGATAGGTCCCTCCCTCGCTGATGCTGATAATCGAGGCAGCTGAACCTTGCTGAGTTCCATGTAGCAATGGGTATCATTTATTGCAGTAAGTTCTTACGAGTAAATAGTCCCTTTGATCCATAACTTATGGATTTAAACAAGACTAGATCAGAAATCCCGGATGAGCTCCCTCCAGAATTTGTACCTCCGTCTTCCAGAGATCTCGACACATCCGTCAGTTTTCTTAAAGATATCCTAAAAAACGATACTTGTGCTAGATCGCCATCTGCTCTCGATACTCCAGTTTCTCGACTCAAAGAACGCTCTTTCACCTCGTCTTCAACAACGCTGACGCAACAAGGTGGCCGTCAAGATGCTACGGTGTACCGATATCAAGATGTCCCACCTCCCGGTATGTTCTACCAGTCATCTGTTCGACACATCGATCGCAACGCTGTCCGGTCACAATCAGACGAATCCAACCCAGCAGCATCGGATATCGCTTCGTTAAAACGCCAGCTTCTTAATACACAAAAGATGCTCGACGACAACCATCCCTCGGAACGTGAATCAGATCAACTTGATCGGGACCTTAAGGATTTGCGCTACGGAATTAAGCGCCTTCAGGAGGTTCTCGAATATGTATCTCGTGGGACCCGGACAACGACAAAGGACGAGGAAAGAAGGAGGATTGAGAGGGAGCTTTATGAGGCTTATGCATGAAGATGTTCCTGAGCTCGAGAGGAAAGTTGAGGAACGTAAAGCAAGGAGAGAGAAGGAAAGGAGAAAGTGGGCGAACGAGAGGGACAAGCGGAATGAGAGGTTTGGACGTTTCGCAGGGGAGGAAGGCAGTCGGTACAGTCCTGCCCCTGAGTCCAGGTATGGTACCGAGGACGATCGACCATATTCGAGGTGTGGGTCGAGGTACGAGAAGGACGAAAGGGACTATTATGACCGTGACGGGAAGAAATCGTATAGGTTTGAGGAGAGCGATCGGCAACTCCACCAAGAGAGCACCGTCGACACCAGGTTTGCGACACGTTCTGTGCCGACTGCGACCCCTGCCGTTCCTTCGGTCTCCAGAGTCAATTCTCCGCCAAGAGCTGCACCAGCACCCTCCCGGTCGCCTGCATCCCAACTTAAGAATATGACGCCTGCGCAACGGAAGGCATATATTCAAGCGCAGGCCAAGTGATGTCTGGAGGATCGCATGCAGGCGCTGGGGGTTTCATCACCAGCACCCACATCCGCAGTTTCCCCGACTCTCGATTCGTCTGTAGAAGATCGACTCGAAAGGGAGAGAAGGCAAGAGAGGCTGAGCGCCAAGCCGAGGAACGAGAACAGGTACGAAAGCTGAAATTGGAAGCTGAACAAGCCATCAAAGAGGGAAAGGGTTTGACTCCTACGCCAACACCAACGACCATAGCGCCTGCGCCCTCGCCTGGTCCAGTGTCAGTTCCAACACCGACGGCGCCAGTGTCCCGGCCGACGGCCTACTGCAACCATGCCTGTAGCGAAGGCTGCTTCGCCACCGCCTAAACCTCGCACCCCTGCTCCGCCGCCACCTAGAAAGGGTACTGTACCCCGGACGCCTGCTGCTGTTGCTGCGCCTGCACTGCCGGTTCAAGCATCTGTTCCAGCCCCAGCATCCCCAGCACCCGCAGAACCCGAAGAAGATCCAGAAGATGTGGCTTTGAGAGCACGCGAAGCAGCTCTGCGCAAGAAGCGCGAGGAACGTGAAGCCCTCCTGCGCAAACTCGAAGAGGAAGAAAAGATGAACGAGGAGGCATACCAGCAAAGGAGGAATCAGTTTTTTGCTGTTAAAGCTGCTGCTAGTCCTGCTGTCAGCACTGTGTCTAGTACGCAAAATTCAGCCGTCCCCCCCGCACCACCTGCGCCCCCTGTACCACCCGCGCTGCGCGTGCACACTCCACCGGCGGTTGTTTCCGTCCAGCCGGCGCCCGAAGTCGAAGCTGAGGAAGCTGCATTCCCACCGCCGCCACCACTTCCGCCACCCCCTGCACCACCAGCTTCGACCCCTGCTGACAAGCCGAGCAATAATCCTTTCAATCGTTTGAAGAAGGATGTGCACGCACCTGCTCCGGAGACCACGCCTTCGCCAGTTAATGTGGGCAATAGTAACCCGTTATTCCGTTCGCAAACGGCACCTCCACCCTCTGTGCCCACTCCCCCGAAAAGTCCGGGCGTTCCGCCGCCCGTCAAGACCACGTATTATACCGTACCCTCCGGCAGCGGCGATGACTGAGATGAAGTTGTCGAGAAAGAGGATGATGGTAGTAGTGATGAGGAACTCGCAACACGAGATACGCGTGTGGGACTTGCACAGCAGCTATTTGGGGGCTTGTTGCCTGCGAGGCCTCAATCCGCTGGACCTGCACCACGTCGATCGGGAGCCCAGTATCACCTACGTTCCCTCCACCCGCTGCTTCACCCGCCCCTGTAGCACCCCCTCCTCCCCCAGTGCCTGCTGTACCGGCACCGTCGAAGTCGCCCACTCCAGTAGCACCTTCTGCAGCTCCTGGAGACCGAAGTTCTCTCCTGAGTGCTATTCAAGGAGGTGCTGTCTTGCGGAAAACAGTGACAAATGATCGAAGTGCCGCTGCCACGGCTGGAAGGATCATCGGGGACAATACACTCCCTGCACATGTCAGTGCCACTCCTCGATCCCCGTCGCCACCGTCGCCACCAGCTCCCGCTGCACCGGTACTCCCCGTCACCGAAGCCTCGGAGCCACCGCAAGTTGAGTTGACTTCGACTTCAAAGCATCGGCCCAAGGAATCAGTGGACTGGTATGATGGGTTGCCTGCTGACCATGCGGGCCGGGCCACATTGGACCGTCTACCTGAGGCTGTAGAAGAAGAAGAATACGCTGGAGATGTACCTGACATTAGGGTTTCGGAACATGTCCCAGATGGAGGTTCTGATCCCATGTCAGATGTCGATGAATCGACTAGTGAGTGTGTATGCGCTACAGGTCATTTATCGTCCTAAATGTGCCGCAGGTCTCAGGGTACGCTCGTTGTACGCTTACGAGGCTCAGAGGACAGAAGACCTGAGTATGTAGTTTCCCTGAAACCCAAATGGCTGTGCTGATGTCTTGGTTCAAGGCTTTGGTGAAAACATCGTAATCGAGGCACATCCCTCCAAGTCTGGCGGCGACTGGTGGTACGGCACGACCGCCAGTAATGGTAGATCGGGTTTTTTCCCACAGACATATGTGCAAGTACTCGAACCAGGTGCGCACCGATTTTACTTTCATAGACTCTGCAGTTACACGGCTTTTTAGTTCAAGCTACTGCCCTTTACTCATACGAGGGCTCGGGTCCCGATGAGCTTTCGTTTAATGAGGGTGACGTTCTTATCATCGTCGACCGGGTAGAATCCGATTGGTGGAGAGCCGAACGGGATGGTGTCGTCTACGCCGTCCCAGCAGCGTACATGGAGGTTGCAGAGGGTTAGTTGCATTTTGTTAGCACAAAACAATCCCTTGAGTTCTTCTTACCTTCTCGTTCGCTGGGATGGATATAGGCTGAAATATTTCTTTTTCTCTCTCCCTTCTTTCTCGCATATTCCTTGCTTCGTGCCTTGTACTCCACGCCATCGACCTTATCCTGTTCTTTCCGGAATTCCAAAATACCAATTTCAATACCGATCGAAACTCCACGTTCTTGACATGCAGACCGCTCTTGTTGCGACTATGATTGGTGCGGTTATGCAGTTCAACTCAGTGGCAGATACGATATTGGCGAAGGGCGTGACTTGCAGCCGGACGGCGACGAGAAGCAACGCGTTGACGGCGCCGATCCTGACTGTGAGATGTTGAGCAATGATGGTTATGGCACTCCTTTCAGCTCATTGGTGAAGACGCGCAAATTGGACCGTATTCCAGAGATTACGGGCATTGATGACGATGAGGACGACGACAACGACGATTACTACTCTCTAGATGACGACAGTGTGTCTGACGTCTCTGAGGCTTCCGACGCAGATGCAACACAGACTTTTGTAGACCAGGAGAAACAAGAGATGGAACGCCGGAGTTATCGTCAGCAACCTCAAAGATCACAATCGTTCGATGAGCCATCCGCGGCATGCCAATAGGCATGGAGTAGGTGTCGATGGCGCGACGGGGCCAGGGGTCCAGAGGGCGAGAGGGGCTTCTCGATAGGGGCTGCCTTCCAACGGAAACGACATGAATCTCTACCTCCTGCACATGAACCTCTGTCTTGTGCGAGGCATTAGGAACTTCCTCCGGTCCCCATGATGGAATTCTCAGAGGATCCGGAGGCAACCAGTCGCACAGGTACTAACGCCAGGCTCTCACCCATGTGCGAAATACTCAGTACGTCCGTTCAACCCACACACCTCAGGACGACCTCAGACTCGAGTGGTACATCGCGCGTCGGCGATGCATTCGAGCATTACGAAACGTATAAGAAGCTGCATGGCGGACAATCATTAGCCACTAACCGGTTGTCAGCATCTTCGTTCGATACAGTCTCTTCGTTCGCATTTTCATCACCTCCTCGTTCACCTGCAGTGTCTCTGTCGCCTTCGCTGCGAGATCGAGAACAAGAACGAGGTGGAGAGAGTCGTACGTCTTATTTGCTGAGTTTTCATGGACGTCACACGCGTTCTACTACGCCGGACATCGATCGCGAGCGCAAGATTCCAATCATATCTGGCCCCATTCACACCTCGGCATCTAATTCAGTAGAACCACATAACTCGACGACACGCGATAACAGCCCAGCATTTGGGACGTCATGGGCAAGCCTCGTCGACCGGACTGCGCTCGAAGAAATACCAGCTGTGGAAAGGAAACGACAGGAAGCAATATTAGAACTTATCTCGACGGAAGCGGACTTTGTGAGAGATCTCCAACTTATCGTGGAGGCAAGTATGTACCAAATAAAGTTCTACCCGGTTGGTTGACTTTGACATTGGAAGCTCTTCTATTCGCGTCTGGTGGATATCCTTGGAGAGGATTCGACGTCGGTCATATTTTCCAACATCGAAGACATCCTTCTTACGAACACAGCGCGTTCATTTGGATATGATTGACTCTTAGCTCACCCGTCTTCCAGGCATTCCTGTCTACTCTGGAGGAGCGACAGCGTGAATGCCGACTCTACGTAGACCATGTGGGAGACTTGTTAGAAACCTATATGCCTCACATGCGAGTGTATCTGGTTCGTTGTGTTGTCAAATGACTGGGCAAGCTCGTTGACTAATTGATCACAGGACTACTGTGTCAACCAAGCCAATGCTGGGAAAGTGTTGCAATCGCTTAGGGATACCAACCCGGAATTGTCTGCTCAGCTGCAAGTTCAGTCATCTAATTCTTGCTCGTCTGCCCTTTCCTGACGGTCAGTCCTTCGTAGTGCCTCCGAGAGGACCCCTTGGCCAGGAATCTCGACTTGTCCAGTTACCTTCTAGTACCCAGTGCGTCCAATCACCTTCTCGTAGAAACAGGACCCATTGGCGACTACTTCTTCGCAGTGCAGCGTCTGACCCGATATCCTCTTCTCATCCGACAAATTTTGCAATACACTGACCCACCTGCGCCTTCACTCGATCCATCTTCGGTACCGCGCTTGACGTTGTCTCTTCCCACGGAGCACGCGGAACGCGAGTCGATAGCGAATGCTCTGGGGCACGCGGAGCAAATATTAGAAGAGGTGAATGAGACAATGAGAGATCGGGAGAGCCGGGCGAGGCTTGGCGAGGTGAGCAGAGAGCTAAGGATAGGCAAGGAGTGAGTATCATGTTTTCTCGTTCTGTTTAATTTCGCTACCGATAACATGAGATTTCGCTGACATCCTTTTTTCCTCTTCCCCCCCTGTACAGTCGTCTTGACCTCACGCTTCCGACTCACCACCTAGGTCCTCGAAAACTTCTCAAAGAGGGTGTACTGACGAAAGCAAAAAGCGGGCGTAAGCTGCGCGTAATACTTTGTAGCGATATCCTCTTACTCTTCAACGAGTCCGGCGGTGGAGGGTTGTACCGCGTGGCAAGTCCCCTACTTCATAAATATCCCTTGGTTGTATTGACCTGTCATCACTGCTAGCCCCTCCCCGTTCACGAACTCGAAATCTACACTGCACGAAACCGCGCACGTTCCGACGATGCCTACATACGCATCCATCGTGCCTACCCTCGGGGCGGAGAGACCCTCGTACTACGTGCTCCAAACGTCCGCGAAGCACGTGCGTGGACAGAAGCAGTCGCACAGGCGGCTGCGAAGGCGAGGGAGGGGATCAGGGTGGCTGTCAGTGATTCGCGGGGCACGGAGGTAGCGTTCGGATCTGCCATTGTTGGTGTGGGGATGGGGCATGTTGCATGCGCGAGGACTCCTCGCGGGAGCGCGGATGTTGGCAATGGAAATATTTGGGTAGCCACTGGTAAATGATTTACTCAGAACTGGAATTTTAGGGGATATACGGACTTGCCGTCCATCGAACAGGCTGTTTATCCTGTGCTGGCACTTTTAAATTGGACAGACTTGGCCCTATTTTTATTTTTGGGTTTCACCTACTACAAATATTCGGACTTCTAGTATTTCGGTGTATTAGTTTGAGTATCTCCATCCATCGCTCTACACTGGTTTGGGTGGTATATTTGTCAACGCAATGGCTAGCACCCCGCTTCTTCGGAGAGGATCCTTCAGCGTGGAGTCATCGAAAAAAAGAATTCGTCCTCGGCAGATAATGACCCCTTCCGTTTCACACACTCTTTCCGCTAGTGGATTTGTCCTGAGGTATTGCGGAATAGAAGAGAAGAGAAGGGGAAGGGAGATCAAATCTTTGTGGAGGCGAGAACATTTCTGAGGCACAAGCCAAGTGTAAATCCGCCGGACACGTATACCATGGCATGGCATATCGCATCTATGTGTGACGACCAGTGCTGTCAGTATGGAAGCCTTCTTCGACCAACGCCTGAACAACGCCCCGCTGCTCGCGAATGAGTCGGATAAGCGTCTCTATACCAAGTGGCACGCCCAGGTCAGGTCCCTGTCCAGGAGTGAGTCGTGTGTATGCTAAGGAGAGTCTGAACAGACGTCCTATCTGGGAGATGTTCTGGCTTGACTGCTTCACCATATTTCCTGGGAGTAAGCACGTTTGAATGAGCACTCAGTTCCTGGACATCAACAAGGGGGTATACCTGGAAGCCCGTAGAACGTATGGCAGTGCTGAGACTGATCGTGTTCGCAGAAGTGCGAATCGTACGCTCCTTTTTTGCTTGGGGAACATCCCCATTATAGAGTACGGTTCTCAATTTGACATCGGGAATGCATGGTATGTGGAACCCATACGTGAGATTTTCGAGGACGATCGTGGTTGTTGTTCCATTGGGGGATCCGAAGGCGGGTAGGCTATGTGCGGCTGTCGCTTCCGGTAAGTTATCTACGAGATTGCTTCCGAGCGACAGCAGCCCTAGGAATTTTGGGATCCATGGTGGTAACGCTTTCAATCACCCCAGCTCCCTAGAAAGGACTGGCTTGAGGAGTAACGAGCCATCCTCTGTTGTCTGTACTCCTGCGTGTCTACCGACCTGTGGTGAAAGCGGCGCGGTTGGTGGAAGGGTGTAGGATCGATGGGGGGTATCACAAGGTGACGATGATCTTGTCGTTGATGGACGAGATCGAAATCAGAGAACAAGCCAAGAAGGCTGACAAGCCTGAAATCGAAGCTGTCGAATTCGATGCTCGTGGTCACCTTATGAATAGCTGGACTGACGTCGAGCGTCCTCACCACTGGCGTTACTCTAGTGATAGCGAAACGAAATCCTTGTCTTTGAGGAGTAATATGTGACATGCACGAGCCAATCCTCAGCTACAATTGAATCTTTACTGCTGAACCGAACACTTGATCAACGCACTGAAGCCTTCGTCCACGAGTTATGATCTGATTCTGCGAGGTGCTACAGCTCCCACTGCATAGCGAAAGCGTTCGTAGACTAGGCATTGATGTTCTCTTCAACACGAGCATGAAGGAGTCATTTTTCTTATTCCACATGAAAGATAGCGTGACTGTGAATGCATCTGGCTCGTGCGCCAAGCCTCCAGCAGTGCCACCTGCAACGTGTCCACAGCATGTCGGCGCTCAAGCGCTCGACTGCGATACTTCGGTCGGAAACTACTTGATTTACACCCCTCAACCTCGACTCCAACCTACAAACCTTACACAAACTACGGATTTCTCAATGGCTCGCAAGCAGTTGAAGAAACATCGGCTGTTTAGCTCCGAAAGACCCAGTTCGACTGCACCTAACATTCCCTCGGTACGCATTTTATACCTTGCACGCGATGGTATTTATTGACCTCTGCCCGAACAGTCACAAGGGGCGTCTCGCCCCTCTGCCGACCCGCCTTCGATCCCTGGACCATCGGCGGATACCCCTCGAAAGCTGTTCTCCAGGATGGGCCACCTCTTCCATCGGTCGAACCAGACTCGATCAGAGCCTCCCGCTACAGAGACAACCGACACCAGAATTGGCAGCCAAGTCAATGTTGCACAACAGGCAATGGTTGAGATGAAGCCCATTCCCCAGGCATTGCAAACAGCTGTTGGTCTTATCGGGCAGGCCGATACTGCGATGACGACGATTCAAAGTATCGAGGCGATTCTCCAGTCTCTCAAAGTGTTCAACTCCTTTGTTACCGCTCTATCGAATGTACTGCCTTTGAGCTTCTGTGGCCTGCATGCTCTGATGTAAGCGCACAGATCCACCCTTATGTCCAGTTTGCACTAGGGATTCTCACCGCTGCTTCTCAAGTACTTCCCCCTTCTCTCTCATGAATCTCTCGCTCATATAGTTCTCATTAGTTGCTCATCAACCAAGCAAATCTGGACAACGAAGTGTTCGGCCTCCTCAATACCGTCAAGGATCTCTATGAATTTCTTATGGAAAAGGATACCATTGAGAATGTGGATAGCATGAAAGAGACGTTACGGAAGATTTCACAGGAGATGAGTGCCGCAGCGCTGTTCGTCGTAAAATATTGCAAAAAGAAGAACATCTGTAGGTCCTATGTTCATGGTCCTCTGATCTGCTTCAGTGTGCTGACGCGATACGTTGTCAGTGGTAAGAATCGGGGACAGCTTTGTTTCCGACCCGCAGACCGTCGCCCGTGGCCACATCAAGAATCTGGGTGACTTGATGCAACAATATCGGGATCGCGCGATACGGGACATCCAGATCAACATGTACCGCGTTCTTGAAGACCTGAACCTCGAAGGCATGGCTTACGCCATGGGCGCAGGCCTGAATACGACCAAGAAATGCCAGGACGGTACCAGGACGGAAATTTTGAAGGACATCACCGACTGGATTACCACATGTGACGTCAACGTCCCTCGTATCTTGTGGCTCCACGGGCAGGCCGGAAGAGGAAAGTCTGCCATTGCCCGTACAATCGCATCATGGATCGAGGATGTGGGAGCTCCTGGTGCCTGTTTCTGCTTCGCTCGTGACAGGCAGGCTGAGCGACGGGAGGAAAAGATTCTGACTACTATCGCGCGTGATCTGGCAGATCGTGATCCGGCATTTCGACGCGCACTGTCGGATGTGGTGTCAAATAACCACGCACTCAAGACGACGTGCGATGTGGCACAGCAGTGGAAACGATTCATCTTGGAGCCACTATCGAAGATTAATGGCGAGATAGTTGGGAATGTGGTCATGATAATCGATGCGTTGGATGAAAGTGGGCCGGAGAAATCGAGGAAGGAGATCCTAAGCCTGCTGAAATCGTCAGAAGCTGTGCATCTGCCAGCGAATTTCCGGATCCTTTTGACGTCCAGACCATTGGCGGACATCGCACGTGTTATGAGGGACGTTCCACATGTGAAGGCAATCTCATTGGACGACATTCGTCAGGAGTTGGTGGAACATGACATCCGGCTGTATGTTTCGAAGGAACTGGACGGTCTTCCCACCATTGAAGCAACAGAAATCCAGAATGTCGTCAAAAAATCCAGTGGTCTGTTCGAGTGAGCTCGTCTGGCTTGTGAGTTCATCAGGCCAGGTAGAGTTGGAGAAACTTGGAAAGAACGCTACGAGGATCTGATGGCGCTCGAGTCGGAAGAAGGAAGAACGCTCCTCTGGGAAAGGCCTGGAACGATATCGCTCCGTGATGCGGCAAGTCGTGATGACGCTTGAACCTCTTCCTATGGCGGCCTTGAATTTGATGCGTAAAAAATTCCCAAACAAGCAGGACCACTATGACATTTTTCTCATCCTCGAGTTCATGTCTCCAGTGTTGGGTGGCATTGTGGACCGTGTCTCCGCTGTGCGGCCGCTTCATGCATCTTTCTATGACTTCCTGATGGATCGTTCACGGAGTGGTGTCTATTTCATTGACACATCTGACGGAAAAGACCTGGCCTTTGCCACATTGCAGATTCTCCGTGATGAGCGTCAATTCAACATCTGTGAATTAGAAAGCTCCTATCTTGCCAATGCTGAAGTTCCTGGTCTGTCGAAGAAAGTTGAGGAGAAGATTCCACACGGTCTATCCTACTCCAGTCGATTCTGGGCCCTGCATCTGTGGAAGATGGCATTTGACTTGGAACTTGCAGGGTTGGTGAAGGCTGTTGTTGGAAGTGAAAAGATTCTGTTCTGGCTGGAGGTATTAAGTCTTCTGGGGATGGCTGGAAAGGGTGTGGATGCTCTTGGTACTGTTGCAACATGGCTATGGGTGAGTACTTGTTGTATGGTGTTTGATGACATCTGACACAACAATGAAGGGACAAGATGGCTTCAAGGATGTATTGGCATTGGTAGAAGATGGAATCAAGTTGATTCGGAATTTTGGCAGTGTGATAGTGCATAGCACTCCACACCTGTATGCTTCTGCATTGCCATTTATTCCTTCCAATGCATTGCTATCAATGATGCTCTTGCCAGAATTCTCAAGGCTGGCTAGAGTTGCTATAGGGGGTTTGAAAGGGTGGCCAGTTGAACAGCAGCTACTACAAGGCCATGCATATGAAGTTATCTCAGTTGCATTCTCCCCTGGTGGGAAGAGGATTGTCTCAGGCTCTTGGGACAACACTGTGAGGGTCTGGGATGTTGAGGGAGGTGTGCAGATTGGCAGCCCTCTTGAGGGCCATACAGATGGAGTCTTTTCAGTTGCATTCTCCCCTGATGTGAAGAGAATTGCCTCAGGCTCTTGGGACAATACTGTGAGGGTCTGGGAGAATGCAATGTTCACAATGGTTGCATCCCACCCTTCTGGCATACTTCATCCATTCCCTCCTGCAGATGGTATGTACCTCCACCTTCTATTTGTTCTTGTTTCATTTAACAAGCAGTGCAGGTGTCATGGGATATCCCATTTGCTTTTCATTTGACCCTTCACATGCTCTGCTTAATAGTAATCTACTTGTTGATGGGTTCATGCAACAGAATGCTGTGCTGGGTGCATCAGTCAAGCTGCATGATGATGGCTGGATCAAAGGCCCAAAGGAACAACTACTACTTTGGATCCCCCCAACACTTAGGAGACCATTTCACTCAATGGGGACCAAAGCAGTCATTCCCAGAGGCTGTTCCATAGAGTTGGATTTAAGTCAGATGGTTCATGGCAAAGAATGGTGCAAATGTTTCCATTCCACCCAGTGAATGATGGTTCAAAATGTATTTAGATGTTGGGTATATCTGCTGTCATACTGTCATAAATTAGTTCATACCCATACTTTTGTCCAATAATCATTTTACCCTGCTAATTGCACACATGTCCTCTGATGTCATAGATGCAGTAGCGGCTCTACATCACTCACCGTCTTCTTCCCTATTCCCCTCACCTGTGGCCTCCTGATTCCCATCAATATTCCGCTTCGTGCTACGCCGCATAGGTGAGTATACGGTTTTCACGTGCTCTCGTTCGAGGTGCCGCGTTGGTATTGAATTCGAGTTCACATTTGTGCTATTACGCGACTTAGAAGTGGTTGATTCCGAGTCCGAGTCGGCGATGGAGATCATGATGTCAGCCACTTCAAGTTCCTCCTGTTCGTCATCCTCGATGTCGTCGGACGAGACCTGGGGAAGCTGTTGCGGTGGGAAAGACGACGAAGGCGTACCGGAATGGGGTTGAGTGGGTATATGCGTAGGTGCCGGTATGGGAGAGATAACTGTCTCGTGTAGTGCTGTCATAGCCAGGTTGGTAGCTTCTGGAGTTAGAGCATTGATTCTATGTACGGGCAGGATCTCATCGACAGGTCTCGCAGTAGGAAGGCCGGTAACCCCGGGAGTTGGGGAGTTCTTTTTGGGTGTCGACAGGGGTTTGTCGGAAGTGACGGGAAAGGTAGCTTTGGGGAAGCTGTAGGCGAAAAGGGGATCGGCACACAGTGTGAAAAAAGGAGCACGAATAAAATGTGGCACACCTGGGGAGTTGTGCAATACTTCCATCACCGCTGCTAAGCATATCCTGGCTCTCATAATCCTTGGTATGGTGTCTGCACTGTCGCGTATGCGTGCAATCTGGATCTGAGCCTGGCGTGTAGAATGTGGTTTGGTTGATTGGATCTGGGTATCGAGGTCTAATTTTCTTGTGTACTCGGTCAGTATCGACGGCTGCAATGGCAGGCCTCCTGCTCTTAGTAGCACGTACAGGTCGTAGATATTCTGCAAGAGCATTTTCTCTGCGTTGCGGTCAGGTTCAGGTTCTGAAGATTGGCGCGTCATCTTACGAACAGCGCATGCGTTGCTTCTAGTGTGGAGGCTTTCGCTTTGGATGGGGGTCGTAGGAGGGACGACAGGTTGTTGATCATGGCCTCGAAGTTGCAACGGGTGCTGGACTACTGTAGGGTACTTGGTTAGTGTACAATTGCGTCGTAAAAGATCCCACCCTGCATGAACGTGGACCGGTGGACTGTCCGCGGATGCAACGCTTGCAACGAGTCTCTCAGGAGCAGGTCAATCTCCACGTCGTCCTCGAAGTTATCGGAAGGCTTCACGTTGTTCGATCTCTGGCGTGAGATTCCATTCCAACTCACACCTCGGCGTCTTGTCCCTGGAAAACCACACACCTCGACAACACACGAGAGGCGTTTGGCGTTTGGAATGCCATCATGGGGCTCGTCTGGTCAACGGGGCTGCGTTCCAAGGGATACCAGCAGTAGAAAGGAAACGACAGGAAGCGATATTCAAACTCATCTCAACGGAGATGGACTATGTGAAAGATCTGCAAAGGTAAGTCTAGATTCTACCTCAATCGTCGACTTTGACGTTGACATTGAGGGCTCTTCTACTCGAGTCTGATGGATATGCTCGGCGAAGATTCGACTTCGGTCATATTTCCAAATATCGCAGATATCCTTACGAACACGGTGCGTTCTTTGGACATGACTGACTCCCAACTCACCCCACCTCTTCCAGGCATTCCTGTTTATTCTGGAGGAGCGGCAGCGTGAACTCGGACTCTATGTAGACCGAGTAGGAAACCTGTTAGAAACACACTTGCCTCGATGCGAGTGTATCTGTTTCGTGCCAGATGACAAGGCGAGCGCGTTGACTGACATCAAGCCAATGCTGGGAAAGTGTTGCAATCGCTCAGGGATACCAACCAAGAGTTGGCCGCTCAACTACGGGTACGGTCATTTGTTTCTTGCTACTCTGCCTGTCCCTAACCGCTAGTCGTTCCTAGTGCCTCTGGGAGAACCCTCGGCCAGGAATCTCTACTTATCTAGTTACCTTCTGGCACCAAGTACGTTCATTTATCTTCCCGTGGACAAACGATTTGCTGACGATGACTGATTCATAGTGCAGTGCCTAACTCGGTATCATCTGCTCATCCGACAAGTTCTGCAATATTCTGACCCACCTGCACCAACGCCCGACCTGTCTTCGGCACTGCAATTGACGTCGTCTCTTCCCACAGCACATGCGGAACGGGTGTCAATAGGGCACAAGCTGGCGTGCGCGGTGCATATATTGGAAGAGGTGAATGAGACGATACGAGATCAGGAGAGTCGGGCGGGGTTTGGTGAGGTGAGCAACCAGCTAAGGATAGGCAAGGAGCAATAAGTATCGTGTTTTCTCGTTCCTTTTAGTTCCATCACAGACGACATGAGATATCCTGACATCTCCCCTGTGTTTTCCCCTGTTCAGTCGTCTTGAGCTTCCACTTCCGATTCACTATCTCGCTCCCTGAAAACTCCTCAAAGAAGAAGGCACACCGACGACAGCAAAGTGAGAGCGTATGCTACGGGTACTATGGAGTGATTTTTTTCTTACTCCTCAACGAGAGCGGTGGTGGAGGGTTATACAGCGTGGCAAGTCCACCATTTCATTACCATCCCTGTTTGCCTGACATGGCCCCTAGCCTCTCCCCATTCACGAACTCGAAATCCATCCATCACGCAACCACACGCTCTAACGATGCTCACATCCGCGTTCGCCGTGCCTATCCACGGTGCAGGGATATCCTGGTACTACATGCTTCGAACGTCAGCGATGCACGTGCATGGACAGAAGCAATCGCACAGGCGGTTGCGAAGGCAAGGGAGGGTATCGTGGTGGTTGTCGGTGATTCGAGGTGAGTTCGAACCTGCCATTGTTGGTGTGGGTGATGGGACGCGTTCCGGGTGCGTGGACACGTCGAGTACGTGCGGATGTTAGCAATGGGAGCATCAGGCTGACCGCTGGTAGTTGAACTGCTCAGACTGGATAATATTGGCGTTTCAGGGGACATACAGACTTGCCATGGATCAGACTATTATCTCATGTCGGTGCTTTTTGGACAGACTTGTCTCCGTATTTGTTTTTTTGTTCCACTTACTAGCTCATAATAGGCTAGACGATCGTGCCAGGACTGGCCACTAAGGACAGTTCCATACTGACTTGTTGTATATTTCGAGCTTCTGGTGATTCGGTGTAATAGTCTGAGTATGCACAACCATCTCCATACGATGGCTAAGACTCTTTAGAAAGTATCCTTCCACGAGGTATAAGGTACGGCTCAACGCCGCATCCACTGGATGCAGTTGTACCATGGCAACGGCGTTTTGCACTTATGCGTGACAGCAAGCTTTCTTTACATATACACTTCACCATCCAATGCCTGAACAGCACCCTGCCGCTCGCAAATGAGTTGGATGAGCGTGGCCATACCAAGCAGAATGCCCGAGTCAGGTCCCTATCCAGGCGCGAGTCGTGTATGTGCAAAGTCTATCAAGAAGAGTGCGAACAGGTGAGAGTCATCCTCCTCAGCCTCGTCTTCGTCATCGTTTTCTTCAAAGCACTCGACGACAGGACTCGTTGTGACAACGCCGTCCAGAGGGCCGTGTTCGTCTAGTTCGACAGTGATCTTATCCTCATGTTCATCCTCTTCGTACAAGGGCACGTCCTTCTTCCGACTCAAGCCAAATTCGTCGGAAGCAGCAAGCCCGTCGTTCAATACAGAGACGCCTTCTGGTGTCCACGCAGCCGTACCTGCACGTACCCAGTTACCTTTATGTATGATAAGGACGCTCCCGCCTATGATGCGTACTTCTGCTTCGGCAAGTGCCACCCAGGGATGTTCGAGTGCCTCGAGCAGGCGCGTGAGCAGAACAAACCGGGAATGTGGAGGTAGGCTTCATTGGATATTATTGGGCGTGGTCATGACATCGCATGGAATCCATATGCGAAATTGTCGAGGACGATCGTGGTCGTTGTTCCGTTGGCTGGTGCCAGCATCAGTTCCGATAAGCGGTGTACGAGGTGATTTCCAGGCGACGGCACCCCTAGGAATTTCAGGATCCAAAGCAGTAACGATTTCAATCATGACGCAGCCATGGTTGCGACGTCAATGGCTGGCGATACGCCATCACGAACGAGCTAATAAAATGCCCAGTTCCCTAGGGAGGGAGGGCTGGTTTGAGAAGAAACCAGCCATCCTCGGCTGACCGTACGCCTGTCTGTCCACCGACCCGTGAGGAAAGGAGCGCTGGGGGTAGAGGGGTATGGGGTCAATAGGAAGCGATACATGGCAAGAATGATCTTGTCGCTGATCGTACCGCGTCTGCTGACATCGTCAGTGGAAGAGAACGCAATCAGATGGCAAGACCCGACAAGAAGCCCAAATAACACTTATCACCAAAATCGTAGAACTGCAGTTGATTTTTGCGGTCCGAGAATTTACAGCAGCAAACCCTGTTCATACCACAACAACAGTACTGCTATCCTTAGTTGGGTTTATTCATTACGGCGTAGCGTGGACTGAGTGGATGCCGAGCACAGATGTGGTGAATGCCCGGCGCATGGACAGTTCATGCGACTGTTAAAAGTCGCATTTCCTGTTATGCCGAGGTTGATACAAAGGAGCAGGAAGTACCTCGGCTAAGCTCAGAGGATGATTGAGACGGTTTCACGATGCGTGAAGATGTAGAGTGGGAAGGTAAGGCGCCGTTCACCCTCCAAAGTCGAAGTCGAAAACTTCGACTTCGACTTCGGAAATGTAGTCACGTGATGATTATATAAGCTGTGCACGCCCGCGCGAACGCGAAGTCCAAGTTTCGGGCTTCTGTTTTAGTCATGTGATGATTATATAAGACAACCACACAACTTGTAGTTCAATAGATGACATTGTGATAACAGATCAAACAACTCTGCTATGGATCTTGAAGCACAGCAGCTCCAGCACCATTGTTGTTACTGTCTTGCTGCACTTGTAGTAGCAGTGATGATCCAGGTGCCTATGCCTCTATGACCTCCTTTTTCATTCTGACTCAGAACCAATCCCCTACCATACCTCAATCCTGACTGGTGAGGGGTGGATGCTAGAGCTCCTGAATGGTCATCCAGACAGGATACAGACTTGCCTTGGTGTCAGCCATGGGGTTTTTGATCACCTGATGTAGGTGCTCACCCATCATGGTTTTGTGCCTTCTCACAATGGAATTTCTGTGGAGGAACAACTTGGGATATTCCTCTACACCTGTGTTACTGGGTTGTCATCCTGGAATGTTGCTGAGAGGTCCCAACACTCACCAGGGACCATCACTAGGTAGGGAGTTCATTGGACTGTCTGATATTTTTCTCAATTTTTTAGATATTTCAAAGCAATGTTGGCTTTCTTTTCTGGGGGACAATTCTATGCATCCCAAGTGCAATTCCCCACCAACAACACTCCCATATCAACTATGATTACTAGTGACCCATGCTTCTGATTTTTCCAGGATTGTATTGGTGCAGTTGATGGCACTCATATTCAAGCATTCACTGCTGCTGAGGACCAGCCTTACATGAGGAACCAGAAGGGCTACCTATCTCAAAACTGTCTCTTCATCTGTGATTTTGACTTCTTCTTCACATATGCCCTCACTGGCTTTGATGGGTCAACTGCAGATGCAACCATGTGGCATGATGCACACAGGAATGACTTGCACATGCCACCTAGGAGGTACCTTCTTGCAGATGCAGGGTTTGGGACCTGTGATGCACTTCTGGTTCCTATTGAGGTGTTTGTTACCATCTGAAGGAATGGCACCAGGCTGGATTAAGGTAAGTTGCTATTCCATCCTGCTCAGTGTACCTGTAACTTCTACTTTATAGACCTCAAAACCGAGAGGAGTTATTCAACCTTCACCATGCTGGACTTAGAAATGCCATTGAACAGATATTTGGTGTTATAAAACACAGGTGGAGGATTCTTCAAATTCCCCCTGAATATAGCATCCACACCCAAACTCAAGTACCTGCTGCTCTCTGTGCCCTCCACAATTTCATATGGTGCTATGATCCAGAAGAGTTCTTTGACCCTGAACTTGCCATGGACATAGGAGAGGGTGATGGTATTGGAAGCCTTGGTGATGGACCAGCAGATGCTGCAGAGAGGAGAAGGGCTGATAATAGGCATGACAACATTGCAGAGGAGATGTGGATTGACTATCAGCACCAGCTTACAATTAGGGGCCTTCTCTGAGCCTGAACATTCAGATTTCATGGTGTACAAATATATGTTCTTACAATTGTTTCACACTCATGTAGAAAAATAACTTCCATTGTCAAAAGGAAGCTAGTCATAGTCATGTACATTTTATTATGTACATATTTGTATAAAGGGGGGGGGGGGGTACATTTGTATATTGTAAAAAAAAACAAACAAACACCTATCTCTGCCCATCCTGGTACTTCATCAGCTGATGCTGCACCCAAATCTGCTTCAGGAAGTAGTTGCCAGTGTCAATCCAGTCATCTGTCAAGAGCTGTGGCATGTTGTTGATGTAGTCCATGGCAGCATTGATGAGGGGATTGGTAATGGGTGGCAGGGGCAATGGGGCAGCAATCACATGCATGAAGTTATTGAGCCTGGAGGTGATGGCAGCGATGAATGAACTGTGATCTTCTTCAGCATGCACTTTGGCTGACAGGGGCTGAGAGTGCTTCAATCCACCTTTGGACATCACAATGGACTTGGCTTTCCTTTTTCCATGACTGATGCTGGTGATGGCTGATGATGATGACAACCTGGCTGACACATGCAACAAAAAACTTGATGGTGCAGAAGGGGGGATGAAGTTTGGATCCATGGACTGTGTGTCCTTGTGACAGTGAGCATTGAGAGTGTGCATCATGTCAAGGAGGGAAAGGGAGGGAGGGGGGGTAGGAATAGTTGAAGCAGTGGGGGGTGCAGTAGAGGCAGGAGTATTTAAGGCAGAGGTTGTGGTTGTAGAAGGTGTGGTAGTGGCATGTGGCCAGTAGATAAACCAACCTTGGCCATGCAAGGGGAGATGGAGCTCTACACTGGTGAAGTGGGGGAACCTGGAATTGCAAAGTGGCTTCATGTCTTTGTGCACCTGACTAGATGTTAGTGGATGATCTGACAAGAAAAAAACTACATTACCTTTACATACTGATCCCAAAGATTGGCATTGTCCAGCAAGACCATTGCACTGTGCTCATCATCATAAGCAAAGCCAGAGGCCACCAATTTAAGATTGGTGATGGCATTGTAGGCTTTTTTAAGCTGGATAATTGTTAGCAAGGCAAAAAAAGAAGAATGATATGACAACTTGCCACCTTGAACTTCTGCTCACACAATTCAGCTGTCTTATCACTGTTATCTGGACCCAGTGGATAATTATGAGCCATGTGGGCTGCTGCAGCATTCCACATAGCCTTCTTAAAGTTCCCATTGCTGGCCTGTGAAAGATGAGAGGCCAAGAAATCCAGTAATGCACCTTCCTCCTATGTTGTCCATACTGCAGCTTTCTTGTGAGTCCTGGGGGGAGGCAGGGGGTTTTGCAGGTCTAGAGGATTGATTGTAAGGCCATGCAAGTGCAATGAGCAGGTTGATCCTGCAGATGATTGCAGTAACTGGGTGACAATGGTTGCATACCTCAGGTGGATGCATGTGATAGTTCACATCATGTGACCCTCTTAACTGAAGCTGAAGTCGAAAACTTGGACTTTGCATTTGCAGGGTGAACAGTGCCTAAGTATCTTGAGCAGGGATCTGGGGAGAGAGCAGCACTGGTGACCAAAGAAAACAATTGGAACTGTGGAGACATTGCAGGTAAACATGACAGAGAACTGGTGGGAGGGGACTACCAAAGGTTCCTGCAAGCTGGGGTTAAGGGTTGGCAGAGCAATAGTCTTCCTATCACTGGCCATGGAATGCAGAGTGTTAGATTTGGCAAGTCATATGTAGTCCTTTTCCAAATGTGTCCACTCCCAGACATGAGAATTACTTTCTGTTTTAAGGCTTTTTATACTCCACATTACTATTGAGCATGCAATTAACTTTTATGCCCTTATACTTATTGTGTTTACAGTGTTTCGCATTTATGTGTGTGTTTTCTTATCACTTACAAATAATGTAGCATGTCTCAAACAGACCACCCTTGTCATGTAAATTGTGGATTCAACATTCACAGGTTTCAGTATTGTAATACCTACAGTATTTAGTCTCACACAGTAGATTTGTCACCTCAGACGTTGTCACTACTCACACACAACTGAGTATACTTCATATAGGTGAATATTAAGACATTGTCACTGCTTGCACACAACTGAGTATACTTCATGTTGGTGCACAGTGTGCAAACAGTGTGCCATCCTGTTTACTCTGAGTTGATTAGGTAATATGTTAGGTACTTAGCTTACACTTTGTCTTACCTTACACCTCAGACTTTGTCATTTCAAGTCTGAGGTACAGTGTCTTTTCACCACTACAGTATACCTTTTTTTTTTACTCACTACCTACACAGTCTTGTGTCTAGGCTAACTTGAGTAGCCTTCTGCTCTCACCCTACCCACAAAAGGTTCTGAGCCCCAAGCTCAAAGCACTCTAGTTATACAGCTTTTTGACCTATGACCCCTACTTACAAGTCTCAAGCATCTACAGAAATGAGTAGCTCTACTTCTGCACCACCCTCTGCCTTGTCACTAGGTCCCTCACAGCCAAAGTCATCCTTGCAAACACTCTCCTTGGCCTCTACCAGGTCTAAAAACCCCTCCTGTTGACTCTATGATGTTCCATCACTAGAAAATGATGGCTCTAACTTCCACACCTGGAAATACAGAGTTTGGATGGTACTCAACATCTGTGGCCTCAAGGAAGTTGTCAATGGAAACTTTACAACTGCTCCTGACCCAAAAAATGACCCTGATGGTCATGCAGACTGGGAAGAAAAGGACCAAGAAGCATGTGCCCAAATTACACTCACTGAAGGATGAACCTCTCAGTGGAGTACTCTATGCCTCAACAGCATATGAGATCTGGAAGTGACTTTGCAAGCAATATGAAGGACATGGAAAACAGACAATAGCCTATGTAATTGGCAAGCTCTTTCATGGAACTCTAACAGATGAAACCTCTATGCAAAGTCAGCTCATCTCCATGCAGCAGAAAGCACAAGTGATTAAGTCACTCAGCCAACCACTCAACAAATCTCTAGTAGCCATAGCCATGGTAATCTCCCTGCTACCCTCCTATTCAAACCCTACAAACAATCCTCATGTCATCAGACAACAAGCTATCTGTCAAAACAGTCATATCACAGGTCTTAGTCAAGGAAAAGTTGTGCCAGGTTTCTGAAGCCCGTAGCACACTTGTGGCTAACACAACTTCTTGTCAGAAAGGAAAGGCAAAGAACAATGAGAAAAAGAAAGGGAAATGTACTTACTGCAAATATCACAGGCATGACAAGTCTGAATGTCAAAAGAAAAAGGCTGATGAAACTAAAAGCAATGTGTCAGAAGAGAAAGGCAAAAAGATGGAGGAGCATACAGCCAACTTTGCAAGCTTAACCTCCAGTGACAATGAACCTCTTTGCCTCTTTTTCACACAGCAACAAGACAGGTTCTTGCAATCACACTGGGTCCTTGACTCTGGTGCATCTGTGAACATCTGTTGTTGAACAGAATGGTTCTCACACCTCAAACCTCTCTTGCCTGCTCAAGAGATAATCA